AATTAGGTTCTCCACTTCTACCAGAACAGGGTTGGTCTCATCTGAAATGTGCTTCTACCTACGTCGTCTTCCCTATCCTTTATTTTACAAGTGACAGTTTCTGACGCTTGAGCACTGCTACGCCTCTGTGAGCCCCTCTTCTGCAAAAGGCTTCGTGAAAGGCTGTCTGCCCCATGGAAAACAACATCTACAAAAATATTTTTGTTTTGACTTGAAGGAGACCTTTCTGAGCACGATTTGGGTAGCAACTGCCTCCCTTCAGGATCCAGGTAAAAAAATCTGTACACTGCTTTTCTGAATCACAGCTGGAAATGAGTACCAGCTTCTAACACAAACACAGGCAAGTCATCACCTCAAGGCAATCATAAGACCATGAACATGGAGGGTTTTCCTCATACTCAGGGATCACTTAAGTCATTCCCTGTCTGGGTACCCCTCTGCTTCCGAAGGGACAGAGTGAATGGAGCCTTGGGTTGTGTCTTTCACCCTTGTGTGGCACTAGCTATGGGTGCTGCTGTGCCTTTCTCATATCGATCTTGGTTTCTAACCAAATCCAAAGAATAAAGAACATGGGAGCCCACCACCTGGACTAGACTACGCTTCTTAAAAAAACAAGGGCCATTCAGGTGTCTAAATTGCCATCCTGGGTACTGGCTAGTGCATCCTTGATCCCAAGGGATGGCTGTTTTTTCTTAGATGTTTTCTCTTCTGGCGTATTGATGGAGAAGGTCTTTGCCTTCATTCCTCACACGGTCCCATTTGGGGTCCCACATCATCCTTGCTTGTTCCTCAGTCACTGAAGAGTGGATGGGGAGCAGGGCTCCATCTCTCCTCCTATTCTTAGTTACTTCCTCCTGGATCAGATTTGAGAAAGCAGGTGACTATCTATAGGTGTTGTATAGGGGGTTTTGGTTCCTTGACTCATTGCATAGATATCCTACCGCAAGGACAAACCCAGCACCTAACTTCTAGCAGGGCTTTCCATTAGCAGAAGACCCAGTGAAGCCTCAAGGGTTGTGTGACCTAAAAAAGAGTTTCTCTGTCTGTTCTCTCTCTCTCTAATAAAGGCTTGAGCTGACACAGGATGGAGCTTTCTCTCACTTGGACATCTTGCTTCCATCAGACTTAGAGAAAAATCCAGATTGGGACACATCCCACCTCTCTAAAAATACCTGCAGTGCAGACACCATCAGCTGGTTAGCTGTCCCTGATTGCTTTTGTAGTCAAGGGAGAGGGAGAGGCACGTTGACACCACGATACATCTCATCCTAAGGAGGATGTCCAAAATAGGATAGGTGAGTCACATCTTCAGGCACTCCCTTCAGAAATGTAACGGGAGCTGTGGGTGAATATGACCGATTGATCTGTTATTGGTGTTGCTCAGAGAGGGAGTGGGACCTTCAGAAGTCCCTTCCAACTAACATCTCCATGATGCTATGACTAGCTGAGCTGAAGGTACAGATGTCTGAGATAACGAAAGGGAGATGAATCCTGTCCTACAAAGCACCCTTGAACTCCTGTCCCACATCTCTGAGAAGCCTCCAGTTATGTTCTCTTGACAGGTCTTTGCTAAGGAAAGAGGCACCGTGGCATAAACCAGACAACCACCACCCCGGATCCCCAGACAAAGCAGCTTGGTAGAGCTACAGTGCACAGGCGGCAAAAGATACAACCCACAGAAGAGTTATGTGAGTAATTAGGATTTCACCTCTTGTTGAACAACCAGCTGCTTAAATAGTCTCATTAGCCAGAGAATTGTTAATTGTGTTAAAACTCCTGA